TGCCAAGACAGAGTCTCCCTCTGTCTCCCAGGCTGAAGTGCAATGGTGCGATCTTGGCTCACTGCAACCTCTGCCTCCCAGGTTCAAGCGATTATCCTTCCTCAGCCTTCCAAGTAGCTGGGATTACAGGTGTGCCCCACCACACCTGGCCCATTTTTGTATTTTTAGGAGAGACAGGGTTTTGCCACATCGGTCAGGCTGGTCTTGAACTCCTGACCTCAGGTGATTTGCCCACCTCGGCCTCCCAAAGTGCTGGGGTTACACCGCACCTGGCTGAGATTGTGTAGTTCCTGAGAGAACGAGAAACTCACGTGTACGTTGTAGTTGCTGAAATCCAGCCTGGGCATCGTGGCACCTTTGGGTTGAGCACACCCCGTGAAACGCACCCACCTGGCGGAGTGGCTAGCGGCGCGAACCAGCTGGAATGCATCGAAGACCTTCCTGTATCCGATGCCAAGTGACTGCTGCAAGCCTGCAGCTGTTCATCACAGGCACGGGAGGCAGGCCAGCGGAGCAGCATCTCTCCAGCTGCTGTGTTTCTTCCCACTCTGCGTTCCCTCTTCCCTCGCTGCTGCTCTCTGTATTTGCACAGTGATTATCGTTACCAGCACTCACGGTCCAGAGGGGCTGGAGATTGGAAAGAGCAGCCCGGATTTCTCGCTGTCAGCTCTCATTTCTTTTCCCTCATCTTGCTCCTTTGTGCCCTGGTTTTCTCTTTTCCCTGTCCCCTCTTCCTATCCTCTCATTGAGTGTGCCTGGAGGGCCTTGTTGTGAACATGAGTGATTTATCCAAAGTAGAGACAGACTAGATTTCGGACCCCAGCCAGCATGCGGGCGGCGGGTGGGAGCCCTCCTGTCTCAGTCTCTGTTCTTCACTCAGTTGCTCATGCGCTTGGCTTCCCTGCCCCCAGGGATGTGGTAGTGTCTCAGGGCCAGAGGGTCACCTTGCTGTCCCCTGTGTCCCCTCACCTGCATATGCCCCCTTTTAGACTCTCGAGAAGGCCCTTGGCCTTCCTAGGTCTTCGTGGTGCAGGCTACCACGGGACAAGCATTTATCGGGTGTCTGCCACATAGTGGTCATGGCGTAAGCACTTCTATGTGCATGGTCTCACTTAATTTTCACATGTCACACACTAGATGACATTATCCTCATTTTATACCTGAGGAAAACATTAAGGCTCAGGGAAGTTAAACGGCTTAGCCAAACTCACATAGCTGACTTGCGGGGGTATCCAGACCCTGTGACTGATTCTGTAACTCAGTTCTCCCAGTGAATATTCCGCATCCCCCTTTAAATTAGGGGCTACAGGTGAGAAGGAGAAATCCGTGATTCCGCCTTTGCTCTCAGGGAGGTTACAGCTGAGTTAGGGCAAAAGGAAAGCCCCCCCCACCAACAGCGCAAGGCAGCATTCGCTTGAGGCCGCGTGCTGGACGCAGTCCCAGGACTAGTAGATTTCACGGGGAGGAACCAGACCCCACAGGATGGTTCATAAGTAGCCTCCTTTTTAATTTTAATGATTATTTTTTGAAACAGTCTCACTGTGTTGCCCAGGCTGGTGTGCAGTGGTGCAAACATGGCTCGCTGCAGCCTCGACCTCTCCTAAGCTCAGTCTTCACCACCCTTGGCTATTTTTTTTTTTTTTCTGTAGAGATGGGGTCTTCCCATATTGCCCCGGCTGGTCTCAGACTCCTGGGCTCAAGTGATCCCCCAGCCTCGGCCTCTCAAAGCGCTGGGATTATAGATGTGCGCCATCGTGCCCAGCCTCTGCAGCCTCCTTGATAGAGGAACAAAGGAGGGGACAGGCAGAGTGCTGCTCTGGAAGGGTGTCCACTGTTTATTTTGGAAGGCCGATACCATGTGAGTTCTTTTTTTCCGGAGGTGAGAGGAGAAGAGAACACAGCAGAGTAAGACTTGGGTACGTGTAGACGTTTTCCCACGTGCACCATCATCTTTTGCATAGTGTCAGTCTGGTTTTTGAGTTGCAGGGCTTCTGCGGCAGGTTTGTGAGCTTCCTGAAATCAGTCTTTCCAGCACCTGAGCTGTTTGCAGCCTCTGACCAAAGTCAGTGGCTGGTGACGCTGGGGAGGCTTCAAGCCCCTCATGTGTGGGAGGACTGGCCTCCTGCTGCCTGGATCTTTGCAGTTTGGGAGAAGGGTTTCCCTGCTCCTCTCATTGTCCTGAGGCCATAGTTAATAGGGCAGGTGGTGTCAACTACAGAAAAAAGGGTGTCACCTATTCTAGTTGAGAACTTAGCCGCCCTGAGCTGGGAGTCTTGGTTAGGATCATAAAATCATCAGAGACCTCTGAGACCATCTACTCAATCCATTCATTCCAGACAAGACATGGAGGTCAAGGGAGGGAGAGTAGAGGCAAGAGCCTGGGGTAGGCCTTCTCCTGGGACTCGGAGGCTCCGTTCTGCTGTGTTGAGCTACCCCGCCCTGATGTAAGTGTTCAGTAATTTGGCTCTCCAGGCCAAGAATCTTTTGCGAAGTCTCACAACTATGTCTCACCTCGCAGGTTCTCCAAACCTATCCCCGAATCCGATGTCCCCAGCACACAATAACTTGGGTAAGTATCTCCTTGTGCACACACTGGAACCCCTGCTCGCCGAAGCCCTGGTGGGTCACTAGTGTGGGGAGGGGGCCCCTGAAGGTAAGGCTCTTCCCCGACCCCCACCATCAGCCCAGCTCAGCCCATCAGGTTTCTGGTTACGGTGATGCTGAGGTCACCACAGAACGGGGAAATCTGAGAACAGCAGTGGCAGGAAAGCCAACCATATGCCGGGTTTGAATTTCCCCTGGGTGGTGGGTAGACGTGAGTGAATGAAAATTCCCCAGACTTTTTGCCCAGCAGAACGAGGGTCTGTGGTCAGCTAAGTATACGTGTGAGGTTTGGTGCAGAGCCATGGACAGCCGTGCAGACTCCAGCCCCCTGACATTTATAGATTTGTTTCAAATATACTTATTCGAGTATTTCGTCTTATAGTTATGTAATTTTTCTTAAAACAGCAACATATAAGGAATTCAAAAATAAAGTCAAAGTGCCCATAATCCCACCACCCTAACAGAACTGGCTTTGTGTGCCCGCAGCCCTGATATTTGTGTATCAGGCATATATACATCTGTGCCTTGCCACTGAGATCATAGTGCGTATCTCGTTTTTCACCGCTTTTTCTTGTTATGTTAATTTGTAAACACGTTTCCGTATTTAGGTGTTTTGTTTATCGTCGTGCGTTGTCTCATGATGTTTTGGAGTGGAGGATCCATTGTTTCCACAACGTTTCTCTGTTGCTAGACTTCTGGGTCAGTTTTCCCAAGGCTTGACTTTTCTAACCCAGTAGGGTCCGTCAGTTCTGCAGACTGGCATAGGCTTTCAAGGGTCCTGCCAAAGGGCTCAAAACAAATGAAATATCCGTTTAGTTTTTACTGAGGGGAGTTTGTTTTTTTTTTTTATATTCGGGTCCGGCGGTTTTAGAAAATGTAAGTTGGATTTTCTTTGGGGCTTTATTACGGAGGCTGAACTTGTGGCTCAGGAAGAGAAATAGTTAATATTTCTTGGCGAATCAAAGTGGATTGGACAGGCTTTTGTGCCCATTTGCTTCCAGACCTTGACTGACAGCGTCAGATGAAGAAACTCATCATTTGGAATATAAGAGATGTCTGAAACCCTTTAAAGCAGGCTGACCTGGGAAGGGTGGGATGTGACTTGAGGGGATCTGTTTTTAACGTTTTTGTAAAATAATATCACTGTGAGTTCTGGGCTTTGCAGAGGGAAGGTCAGATTCCTGATATGAAAGTACTGAGTTATTAAAAACAAACTGAAGGCTAGAAGCAAAGTTAACACTTGAGAAATTAAAGGCCACGATCAGCTTTTGAGATTGGCTGTTTTAGATTTATTTTCTGTGGCCCCCACCCCCACCCCCCTCCTTTTTTTTTGTTAGAACTAGTTTTGCTCTTGCTGCCTAGGCAGGAGTGCAATGGTGTGATCTTGGCTCACTGCAACCTCTGCCTCCCGGGTTCAAGCCGTTCTCCTGCCCCAGGCTCTCGAGTAGCTGGGATTACAGGCACACGCCACCACACCCAGCTAATTTTGTATTTTCATTAGAGTTGGAGTTTCTCCATGTTGGTCAGGCTGGTCTCGAACTCCCGAGCTAAGGTGCTCCGTCTGCCTTGACCTCCCAAAGTGCTGGGATTACAGGTGTAAGCCACCATGCCCAGCCTTTCTGTGCCATTTTAAAACCTTCCTGGGGTCCAGGTAACACTTTTAGTCAATAGCCTTTTGAGCAGACACTTGACTTTAAAACCATAGCAGTCCCAAGGCAGCTTGGAGGTGGCTGATGCCGGATGCAGTGGTTTAGACTCAAAGTGGTAGTTTGCTGCGAACTGCCCTCTAGACGGCTAGACGGTGTAGACGAGGATGATGGGATGTTTGTTTCTTGAGCTTGGACCCAAGGCAGCGTCCCCTGTTAACATGGTTCTCCTTCCCTTCCTCAGGCAGCTTGCCTGAGAGTTAAGAATTCTTAGGTTATTTGTTCCAAAGGGAGAACCATGCCCTAGCCTGGCCATCAGAAAATGGACGCACTTTGCACTGGCCTAGTTGCACCTCTGCTGGGAAGGCGTGAATCGGGGGCGAGTCGCTGAGCGAGTCATGGTTAGGATTCTGGGTGAGACACGGCACTGACAGGTCCGGCTTCTTCTCTGCTTCATTGGCCCCTGTGCTCCCTTCATCTATTCAAACCCATCACTGATGTCATCCCTACCTAGAAAGGTTGCCTGGACTCCCACTGTCATAGCTGGAAGCGGGTGAGGGTGATGGCAAACATTTCTGGAGAGTCTGCTGTTGACTGGTATTCAGAGTGCTTCCTGTGCGTTAACCCAATCCTTGTAACTTTGTAAGGCAGAAGTGTTGTGATTGTTCATTTTATGGATTAGGAAACCAGGGAACAAATCAGTGAACTCATGCGTCCCAGATTCACAGCTAGTGAATGGAGAAGCTGGCTTTGAACTCAGGCCCTGTCACTCCAGAGCGTGCACCCCCACTGCAGCATGACACTGCCTTGCTGGGCCGTTTAGACCAGCTGTCCCCACCTTCCTCACTTGGAGGAACAAGGCTCAGGCAAGGCATTTGCTGACTTTTACGTTGGAGATGGATGCTAGGCTGTGGCCCCTGGGGGGTAAGCCCTGCCTGCTTGCCTGCCTCTTCTGCACTCCCTCATCCCCAGATGCGTCTTGTCAGTACGCCAGTTCAGGCAGGGGATTGTAAGAGGGACCCCAGACCCAGCCATCAGGAGGCTACGGCCTTGTTGGCATCAATAAGCAGGACCAAAAATGATTCTAACACAAGAAATAGGTGCAGATGAAGTCCTCTGAGGGTTCAGGCACTCACCCAGGCTGGAGTGCAGCGGCACGACCTCGGCTCACGGCAATCTGTCTTCCTGGATTCAAGCGATTCCCCTACCTCAGCCTCCCGAGTAGCTGGGACTACAGGTGCGCGCCACCACGACCAGCTTTTTTGTATCTTAGTAGAGACGGGGTTTCATAATGGCCAGTATGGTCTCGATCTCCTGACCTCGTGATCTGCCCACCTTGACCTCCCAAAGTGCTGGGATTCCAGGTGTGAGCCACCGCCCCTGCAGTTCTCTCTTATTGCCCCACTGCCCAGCTGTAGATCTCACTCTGGAAACGCTGATGACGTCTGGCCAAAGTCATGGCATGGATGAATTTAGTGGAGAGGCAGACCCAGCTCAAGAGGGAAAGACAGCCAGAGACACACCTGGGTTGTGTGTGGGGGGTTCTTGGGGAAGGCTGAGGTCAGGGGGATGATGGGGTCACGGCAGCTGAGTGGGGGAAGCCCTAAAGGATGGTGGCCACGAGCAGGTCCTGCGGAGATGCAAAATAAGATGTAAGAAGAGGCCTTGCATTTGGCATCAGGGGTTCAAGGGCAGCCTTTAGGGAGCGGTTTGTGGGGAGAGGTGGGGGCTGAAGTCAGCAGTGCGCTGAAGGGCAAGCGAAAGGCAGGGAGGTGGAGGCAGCCAGCTCACAGTCAGCGTGTCCCAAACCCTCGGATGGAAGCAAACACAGGGAGCTCTTCCTAGGAAGACATGGGGACATCTCAGGACATCTGATTATTTCTTTTAAAGAGATTATTATGAAATTACCCTACAAAAAGAAAGTAAGCAGAGGACATCTGGCTTCTTTCATTTCCTCCCCACTCCAGGCATTAGCCCCAGGGTTCGGGTCTGGGGAAGGTTAAGCCTCCTTCCACAGTAAAGCCACTTCTGGTAAGGGGCAGGGACTCCTGGCTGACACCTGGCTCAGCATCCTGCCCGCAGGCAGGCTCTCAGAGACCCTGGCACTTTGTTCGCAGGGAAGGGGTTATGAGCAGGTGATATGCCTGTTAGACACAGCGTGCTGGGTGAGTCACTGGGAATTTCCTAGGCATTTAAGTCGGAAGGATTGGGGCAAGTGGAGGGGAAGGAGGAGGCAGGTGGGGAGAGGAAAAAGGTAGTGAGCTGGCTTCTGCTGGGTGAGTAAGTTGTTCCCCGCTTTCAAGTGAGACAATCAGGGAGGAGCTGTGACTGAGGAAAATAATGTACCAGGGAGAGCCCCGGGGAGCAGCTGAGCTGGAGTTTAAGGAGGTGATGGCCTCCCAGGGTGCTGGTGCCACGGGAGAGAGGTAGGGAGGAGTGTGGCGGCAGGGCAGCCTGGGGGTGCACAGCGGCCCAGGGCACAGGCTCAGCCTAGTTCCAGGTATCTCCATGCTGCTGCCCAAGGCTCTTTTTTTGTTTTGTGATGGAGTCTCACTCTGTCGCCCAGGCTGGAGTGCAGTGGTACAATCTCGGCTCACTGCGACCTCCGCCTCCCAGGCTCAAGCAATTCTCCTGCCTCAGCCTCCCGAGTAGCTGGGATTATAGGGGCATACCACCATACCTGGCGAATTTTTGTATTTTTAGTAGAGACAGGGTTTCACCGTGTTGGCCAGGCTGGTCTTAAATTCCTGACCTCAAGTGGTCTACCCGCCTTGGCCTCCCAAAGTGCTGGGATGACAGGTGTGAGCCACCGCGCCTGGACCCAAGGCTGTTTTCTAAGGCAGCCTCCGGCTCCCACCTTCCCCACACTTGTGAAATCACAGGCAGGCGAAATGGTGACAGGAAGTCAGCTGCCAGCTCTGTCTTCATGCTCCTGAGGGTCCGGCTTTTAGACTTTGCCACTGTTCCTGGTTGCAGTAAGCTGGTCCTAAGCTAAAAGGGCATGGGGGTCTCCGTGCCGCTTGGTTTGGTGTTTTAGTCCTCAGATGCATAGGTTGGAAATTAGTACCGTGGGTGCTGGGACACAGCTGGCGTGGGCTCACAGAGACCTCACCCTATAGCACAAGAGACTCGGGTACCGTGTTTCTGGGACACGAGGCTAATTCAGCATTGAGGCGGTGAGGGAGTGCTTCATAGCCACGTGAGTTGGACCTTAAAGGTGGAGTCCCTGCTGAGGAGGGGGGTGGGCAGTCCAGGCAGATGACCCAGGCAGGGCTGAGATGTGGCAGATGAGGAACATGGAATCCGGAGTGTGGAATCT